TCTGAATTCTTCAAACTGAAAAAAAATAAAACAATGATCCTTTTTTTGTTAAAGGCATTTTATTTCATTTTTAATTTGACTATACCACACAGCACGCAGGATCTTAGTTCCCTGACCAGGGATTGAACCTGGTTCCTAGCAGTGAAAACAGCCAAGTCCTACCATTGAACCTCCACGAAACTCCCTAAAACAGTGATACTTGACTAAGAAAGCTGAATAAACCCCTTCTGTGCCCTTTGTTGGAACTTTTATTACTACCGAGTAGAAGTGTGTCTTTTTGAGTTTGATTAATCAGTACACTGTCTTTTCACCTTCTACCTTTCACTGTTGGATTTCAAAAACAAGAATAATACTGTTCTGGAACTGACTCATTTAGTCATAATTCAGGGGAATTTAAGGAGCTTGAGGTATACATCTCCATAGAAAATAAAGTTCAGCCTCAGGTCTCCCCAGTTACTGGCCTGGCACCAAGAAGCAACTGGTAACTGGATTCCTATTTTATAACCCTTCCCCCACGCCATTGTCTGTCTGCTCTGAAACTTGGAAGACTGCTGTCCAGTGGCTCTTGGACTGGCTTCTCCTTTTCAGCATCTCCTCTCCCTTTTACCCCCACTCACTTTCTGGTTTGTTTAACCATAGTTCAGCTTTGTCTGTTCTTAGATTTCATATGAATGGAGTCATACCATGTGTGTCTTCTCCCACTTATAGTCGACATAGTTGTAGGTGTACAATATAATGACTTGGTGTGTGTATATATCTATATCTATATATATATAGTGGTAGTGGTATATATATATATACATAGGCACTAGTAGTGAAAAACCTGCCTGCCAATGGAGGAGATGCAAGAGACACAGGTTTGATGCCTGGGTTGGGAAGATCCTTTGGAGAAGGAAATGGCAGTCCACTCCAATACTGTTGCCTGGGAAATCCCATGGACAGAGAAGCCTGGCGGGCAACAATCCATGCGGTCACAGAGAGTTGGACATGACTGAAGCGACTTCACACACACACACACACAGAAACACACGACATATATATAGAAATGATTACCACAGTAAATCTTGATAACATCCATCACCACAGTTATAAAATATTTTTCTTGTGATGAGAACTTTGAAGATCAACTCTCTTAGCAACTTCCAAATATACAGTTCAGTATTATTAAATGTAGTCACCATGCTGTGCATTACATCCCCAGGACTTACTGTCTTAACACTGGAAGTTTGTACCTTTTGACTCTGCCTTCCTCTGTTTCTCCCACGACCATCCCGCCTCTGGTAACCACAGGTCTGTTCTCTGTTTAAGTCCGTGTTTTGTCTTTTTGTCTCGTTGTTTCGGATGCCGCACATAGGTGAGATCATACAGCATTTGCCTGTGCAGTGCTTGGTCACTCAGTCCTGTCTGGCTCTTTGCGACCCCACTGACTGCAGCCTACAGTATTTGCCAATCTCTGTCCAGTTTATTTCACCTAGCATAATGCCCTCAAGGTCCATCCACGATGTTGTAGATGGCAGGATTTCCTTCTTCCTTTTTGTTTTTCAACGATTGAGTAATATTCCACAGTATATACTTTTGAGATCCTTCCTTGTTATGTGCATCAGCAGCTCTATGTTTTATTGCTGACTAGTATGCTGTTGCTTGAATATGCCATGTTTTGCTAATCCAGTCTCCTGTTACATGATACACATTTTGTCTAAGCTTAATTTCTAGCTCAGTTTTATATCCCTACCATTGTTCCTCCCCATCTTTCTCATCATCTTCAAATGAGTATGTCTTTTTAGTTGATTTTCCTTGAATATGGTCTGCAGGAAACTCCTGGAATATGAACTCAGCATACACTGTTCTTTCTTCATCTGAAGAAAGCTTTATTTTCTACTGTCTTTGATTATTGCTTGTGTTTCACTTATTTTCTCTTCCTTTTAGTACTCTGGAGGTCCGTTAGTTGACACCCCATTCTCTGGTCCTCTATGATTATTCCCCTTTTCCTAATTTTCATTTCTTTACCTGTTTCCTCTGGGTTGAAATATAGCTGTTCAATTTTTGTTCTTTGCATCAGTCATTTTCTATAACATCAACTATGCTCATTCCTGCTGCTGACATGGACTTTAATTTTGTATTTATGTATGTTTTCATTATTATTGAAATTCCCCTTAATTTAGCTTATCTTTATATTGTGATTCTTTACTTTTTAATTATTTTATTATATTTCTTATTATTTTATATTATATGTTTAGTTGTTCATATTTTGCTATCTTCATATAGAGGCAGTGTTCACTTGTACTTTCTTGAATGTGCCAAACCATTTCCTGAAAACTTATTTTGTATAATATTGGGCTTCCCAGGTGGCTGAGTGGGTAAAGAATCCACCTGCCAGTGCAGGAAATGCAGGAGACGCAGGTTTGATCCCTGGCTGGGGAAAACCCCCTGGGGAAGGAAATGGCAGCCCACTCCAGTATTCTTGCCTGGAGAATTCCGTGGACGGAGGAGACTGGCGGGCAGTCCATGGGCTTGCAGAGTCGGACATGACTGAGCACGCTTGCAGGCATACCATAGATAATATTCAGAAAGACTCTGAGAACAAATTCCCCCTGTTTTAACATACTTTGTAATCTGTCCCATATTGCTTTTTTCATGCTTTCCTCCCTTATTATCCTCAGAAGCAGAAGGGTTGAGTGGATGGTCTTTTTGTTCCTCTTCCTTTTTCTCAATCCTCTTGCTGAATCTTTAGCTGCAGGACAACCTACAGGGTCCCTGCCTACTTCCCAGTTCCAGCAGGTGTCGACTCAGCATCCCTGGGATCTCTTGTGGTTGTGTCTCTTCCTGGCTTCTCTGCTATTTCCCTGTTATCTCCATCATCACGCAGTGTCATTCCAGAAGACAGTACATTCCAGATGTCATTACAGTTCTTTCTCTTCTCACTGTTTCTTCAGGCAGAGTTTCTTAGAAAACCCTCTGCCATCATCTGCTCCCTCCACTTTCTGCCCATTTGCTTTCTAAGCTTTGTTGTATCTCTTTGATCTTGAGAAGCAGAGAGAGGTAATGGAGGGTGGATGGAATGATATGCTCAGATATTCAGTTGTGTTTGACTCTTTGCGATGCCATGGACTGCATGTAGCCTGCCAGACTCCTCTGTCCATGGGATTCTTCTGGCAAGAATACTGGAGTGGGGTGCCATTTCCTCTTCCAAGGGATCTTCCCGACTCAGTGATCAAACTTGATTCTCTTGTGTCTCCTGCGTTGGCAGGCAGATTCTTTACCACTAATGCCACCTGAGAAGCCCAGATAAAGGATGGGGGGAAATTTTCTGCTCCATTCCACAGCAGCTTTTCAGGGATGGAGAAGCACTTCTGTATGGGTCTTTAGTTGGTGAATACTCAGGTTCTGTGGGTAAGCAGGCAAATCGTGGAACCGCAGCCAGTATCTTCTGAACTGTGTTCACTTGGCCACTAGCCTGAAGTGAGGTTGAGATTTGCCATGAGATGACAAATGGGGTGATATTGCTTCTCCTCCAGCTTTATAATTACTGTCAATTCATTGAAGATTTGAGGTTTAGATTGTTTTCAGCCTAAGTCTTCAATGTTATTGAGAGTATTTTGCTTTTTGGTCTTTTTTCTGCACCTTCGTTAATATTTAGCAATTAATTGGCAGGGGCATTCATCAGAGCTACTAACCAAGTGTCATACTGAAAATGACCTCTAGCCTTATGTCTTAAGTGGTGACTTTAATTACCTGGTGTTGCATATTATATACACAAACTGACTCACATTAATAGGATTGAATTCAACTGGACAGCTTTTATTTTGAGAAAACAGCCTGTAAACCAAATGATCAACAAGGACGCCTTTTTGAAACTGTGTAGCCTGGTGGAAAGATGTAAGGCAGGAGGAGAAGGGGACAACAGAGGATGAGATGGTTGGATGGCATCACTGACTTGATGGACATGAGTTTGAGCAAGTTCTGGGGGTTGGTGATGGACAGGGAAGCCTGGCGTGCTGCAGTCCATGGGTTTGCAAAAAGTTGGACACGACTGGGTGACTGAACTCAAGTCCAGTGGGAGTCAGGAGTTATGAATTCTAGCCAGCTGGAAATGTGTGGGTCAACACACAGCATATCCAGATCTCATGCTTCTCATTGGAATGACCCCCAAACTACTCCACAGCCCAACCCAGAGACATGAGTTCTTTTTTGTTCAATAATCCTCATGCATTAGCTGACATAGGTGATACATGTATGTGTGTGTATATGTATGTGTGTGTGTGTGTATGTATATATATAGTTCCTCTTTTGCTTGACTTTCTTTTCTTGTGTGTATAGCATGTGCAGCAGGATCTTAAATCACAGTTAAAACTTGCCTTTGGTCTACTTTTAAAACTTGGTGTAGGCATTATTGGTCAATGGCAGGTTTTGTGGTAGGCAAAATGAAGTTTCTCGAATGCTTCCTAGGAGGTGAGCTTGTCAGCTCTCACTTGTTCAAAAATGTCAACAGTTTGATATAAACAAAGGTCATAGCTTTGGTATTTTACCTCTAGTTTCCTGCCACTTGGATTTGAAGGTATTTAGTAATACCTTCTTTCTTAGCCTCTTTTTATGTGAAATTTATTTAAGTATATGTTGTGTGTGTGCGTGTGTATGCTCAGTTGTGTCCAACTCTTTGTGACCCCATGCACAGTAGCCTGTCCACCAGGCTCCTCTGTCCATGGAATTTTCCAAGCAAGAATACTGGGGTGGGCTGCCATTTCTTCCTCCAAGAGATCTTCCCAACCCAGGGATCGAACCCATGTCTTCTGCATTGGCAGGCAGATTTTCGATCACTGTGCCATTTGTAAAGAGCAGGTCAGTTCAGGTCAGTTGTTCAGTCATATCTGACTCTGTCACCACATGGATTGCAGCACACCAGGCTTCCCTGGGGATATAGTGAACTAGAATTAAAGATCACTGGTCTTGTTAATGTACTTTTAATAGCAATTCAAAACTAGTTTTGTTTTTTTGATTTTTAGCTTAACCCTGATTATCGAGATGCCCAAAATGAAGGAAAAAATGTGGTGAGTAGAACTATTTTTTTTCTCCATCAAATACAAGCATATTATTTATATTTTATATGAACAAATTGAAAAGTTAGTAGACAGTTTGAAGAGTAGGGACTCTGAGAGAGAGACTCTGAGTAGAGTTTGTGGATCAAAGATAAAAATAAATGATGAGGTGGCTTAGAGTATAAGGAGATGATCAGTAGTGGGTATTTAGGGAGATTTCTAGCAACTTGGAGGCTATTTATGATAGAGTGCTGAAGGCAACTGGGTCTCAGAAGTATGCTGGGTCTAGGTTTAGTTTTCAGAAGTGCATAGAAATTAGGAAAGAGGAGTGGAATTATGACTTAATATTAAAACAGGATAATGGAAAAATCATTTTTGATTCAAAATGACTTGGGTTTTATTTATGGAGAGAAATTGAAGCATTCAGCAAGTAGATAAGTTTTGTTTCTAATGTTCTACTCTATGCTACTCAAAAAGATCTCAATCATTTTTCATTAAAAATACTTATTATTATTCATCCTGCTAATCTCATCCCCACTTATAAAGAAAATGACTTAATGATGACAACATGATTTAATTCAATAAAATTTTAGAGAGGAAGGGATGTGCCAGAGGGAATGGGTTTGGAGTACAAGTGAAACTGTGTGATAATAGATGGTAACTAGACTTCTGGTAGTCAGCACTGTGTACTATAGGATGCTGAATTATAATGCTGTATACCTGAAACTTATTAAAAATTCAGAAATTCAGGATACTTTGATGTGAAATAAATAAAGCCCAGATGGCGGGCTAGATTTCTTTTTTTTGTGGTATGTCTACTTACCGTTTATATTATTGTTGTTATATTTTTAAGTTACTTCTGTAACTGCTATCCTTAGACAAATTGCTGTTTCTCAGTTTCCTACAGGAAAAGACTGTGAACTACTTTTTAAACTGATTCAGTTTCCCCTCTTTTAATAGAAAATTGGCAGCCCTGAGACTCCTGTTTTCCATGACACACAAAAGCTAGTAAACATCTAGAAGTGGTTCAAAATTTATAAGTAAGCTAATTTTATATGACCAAATAGAAAGTTTAAATAACTTTTATGATCTGAAATCACACTTAAGGGAACAAAACTTCTCAAAATTTTCATGCCTAATCTTAAACATTCTAACGAATAATTTCCATTGTCTGAAGTTAGTTGCACAAAAAAGATATAACTAAATATTTTAACAAATCAAACTGATCACATGGACCACAGCCTTGTCTAACTTAATGAAACTATGAGCCATACCATGTAAGGCCATCCAAGATGGACTGGACCAGGTGGTGAGTTCTGACAAAATGTGGCCCACTGGAGAAGGGAATGGCAAACTACTTCAGTTTTCTTGCCTTGAGAACCCCATGAAGAGTATGAAAGGACAAAAAGATATGACACTGAAAGATGAACTCCCCAGGTCGGTAGGTGCACAGTATGCTACTGGAGAACAGTGGAGAAATAACTCTGGAAAGAATGAAGAAATGGAGCCAAACCAAAAACAACACCCATCTGTGGATGTGACTGGTGATGGAAGTAAAGTCTGATGCTGTAAAGAACAGTATTGCATAGGAACCTGGAGTGTTAGGTCCATGAATCAAGGTAAAATGGAAGTGGTCAAATAGGAGATGGCAAGAGTGAACATCGACATTTTAGGAATCAGTGAACTAAGATGGACTGGAATGGATGAATTTAACTCATATGACCATTATATCTACTATTGTGGGTAAGAATCCCTTAGAAGCAATGCAGTAGTCCTTATAGTCAACAAAAGAGTCTGAAATGTAGCACTTGGGTTCAATTTAAAAAATGACAGAATGATCTTTGTTCATTTCCAAGGCAAACCATTCNAGATTCCCTGGAGGAGGGTATGGCAACCCACTTCAGTATTCATGCCTAGAGAATATCATGGATAGAGGAGCCTAGTGGGCTATAGTCCGTAGGGTTGCAAAGAGCTGCACATGACTGAAGCAACTTAGCACATATGGGTAGCATACATGCTAAGTTGTAGTAATTGCCCAGAAAATTGGATAGGTTTTAAAATAAGAAAAGGTTTTAAGCAGAAATTATTTTAAATAGGTTTTTCAAGGAAGGGTTTCAAACTCAGACACCCTCTCATCTATCCAGGATGGCATAAGCCTGATGCCTTAGGGCTGAATTAGATGAGGTGCCTCTCACTCTTTGATATTATGATAATTAGTACTTACTAAGCCCCTATGGGGTATATGACCCATTCTGGGTGCTATTTGAAGGCTAGTTTAGTCATGATCCTTTTGATTTGATAAAGAGAATGTTCCATACATATTAATTACAAAAATCTTTCCAACTCATTAAGTTTGTGACCTCTTTGCTTTTTTGAAATTATAGCACAAATTGTCTGTACAATTCATTTGACAATAATTCATGTACTGGCTTGTGACATTTCTTGAATTGTTGTTTTATTGATGTTTAATTCTTCATGTAAGGAAACATTTCTGACTTATTATTTCATAATGTGCATCTCTGCATTTTTAACCATACCAAGCCACACAGTCAAACTTACAGGTAGTTAATTCTAAATATTAGATACAATGACCATATAGAAAATACAACCTTGTTATCACATTTTAGCTGTGATGTGTACCTGTGCAATATAATTTTGAAGCCCCGGTCTCCCTGTTGTACTCATCTAGAGATGTCTAGGTCACTCTTTATTCCTGAAGGATTTTGAATCATGATTCATTGTCATGGTTCTCCATGATTTTAATAACCAAGGTGTTGAAGAAATACAACAGAAGTGTTTGTTGCTCAGTCATGTCCGACTCTTTGTGACCCCATGGACTGTAGCCTGCCAGGCTCTTCCAGAACACTGGTGGATTGCCATTTCCTTCTCCAGGGAATCTTCCCTACCCAGGAATCAAACCCATGTCTCTTATGTCTTCTGTATTGCAGGCAGGTTCTTTACCATTAGCTCCACCTGGGAAGCCCTAAAAACGATTTAGCCAGATATTTTGATATAAAATAGATACAGTCTATAATACAGTTTGGTAGGAATTTAGCCATCCCTTTTGGAATGATCAGGTATTATTACTGCATCACCCAAATATCTGCTGTTTGATGGAAACAGTTGGAATATTTAAAGTGATTACTGTTTTATATTGGTATGCAGATTTATGTTTTATGAGGATAATGGTTATGGAGGTGATGAGTCAAATCAGAATTTCTGGACCTGAGTCAGTCCTGTTTGACTCCTCTCTGCAAAATGATTATCATGTTTACAATAGAAATAAGCTGAAGTCTCAGGTCACTGACCCAGTAAACACTTTAATTCGTGTCAAAATATCTTTAAATAGAGAAATAGTTTCTTTTTTTTTTTTTTTTTAGATAAGTTGGGTCTTTTGTTTGTAATTCAATTTTATCCCCCAGTGTGGGCTTTTCTTTCCTTGGTTTTCAAGTAGCTGTACCAGGATTCTTGGGCTCTTACCTTCCGATGACTTAGGAAAATGCTATCAGTAGCCATGTTTGAAAAGCACAAAAAGTGTCCTTCTTGTAAGCTTGTTTGTGCCCACAATGGTTTCTAATCAGAGACCACCAGGAAAGTACGTGTACTTGAACAAATGGGGTTCATTACTCTCTGCACTCACACTGTGGGGGACTGTGGGGTATCTCAGTGAGCACATGTTAGGAAGAACCTATTTTAGGGTTTCGGCTTATGTAGTTGATTTTGGGGAGGACTTAAACAGGTGAAGCTTTGCTGTGTGTAGGAATGCTGTCAGGAAGAAGAGATGTCTTAATACATTTTATCTATGGGCGGGGTAGGTGATATTCCTGTCCTTGCTAAAGAGTCAGTAGTTGCTCATACTTCGTCGAGGAGAAGAACAGGATCATCATTTTTTTGTGGCCTGTATGATATTCATAATCTGTTGGTGTTCAGACATGGTTATGAGTGGTGTTGTTTTCTCCTGATCCATTCCAGTCATGAAGTGGCCTTCTCTGGTGTTGCTGTTTTGTGAAATTGTCCATATTCACCAGGAGAACTGCGCAGCCCAGCTCAAGTGTCAGGCCAGCTCCTAGCAACTCCAAGGCCTGGCTCATATACCAGGCCAGCTGTTGGATGTCAAGGACTGTTTTTCTCTTTGTCAAGGTTTATTGCTGTGATATTCTGTATGCTTCTGAGCATGGTGTAGAGACAAGAGGGCTCTGCTTTAGCTCCACCATAAACTTGCGTAGCCTCAGACAAGTCAGGCAGCTCTCCTGAGACTCAGTTTCTTCACCTGTCTGATAGAATGAGGATGTTTGCCCTACATCCCTCACTTGCATGTCATGAGGATAAATCAAAGCAGACGGATGGAAAACTCCTTGTGTAAAAGATGTTGGTAGGTTTAAAAAGTGTAAGTTGTTTCTCTTAAGAGGGCCTCATATCAAAGCTTCAAATTGTGTAGTTGAAATAAATCTTCTGTGTTCATCTTTTTTACACTCTATACTATTTGGACATGCTATTGATGCTTCTGGGCGGAGGTGAGGGGAAGAGTATAGTGTGTGAAGGTTTATGGAGCCGCACAGAACATATAAATAAGTAATCAATCCATGGTGAAGTTCACTCTTTGTGTTAATCAAGCCTTAGTTAGACTGCTAGATTTTGTTCCTTTGCATTCTGAAGTACAGTTTCTTCTCCACCTCTTAAGCACCTTCTGTTTAAGCAGTGTTACTAGTGATACTTTAATTGCATACCACACAGGTGGATTTGCTTTTGCTGTAGAATTTTATGATTGGCTCTCATCTGTCATCTCAGAAGCACATCCAACCGGGACATTTGATTTCATTTTCTTTTCTCTCTAAAACCACTAGCTTGAGAGTAAATAAAACTGAGAATATGGAGCAGTAAAGCTAACAATATGGCTGCTCATTTTATACACCATTTACCACCTAGCAATAATGACGTTTCTGTCTAAGAAAGGAAACAGAGGAACATTTGGACTGTAGCCTGTGAAAAATGAAATCTGTTTCCCAAAACAATGCTATCTCACCTCAGATCTAGGTTCCAGTAACACTGAATTCGCTGTGACCATGCTAATTATTTTCTTTTCTACTTTTCCTTATGCTCTCTATTTAATATCCAGTTAATATTTTTCCTGTGATTCAGAAACCTTTATCAAGTGTTGCCTTCCATTTTTTGAAGTTTCAAAGGTTAATGGATGGTGCCGCTGAAATGAGGCAGAGTGTGTCAGAGCTCCCATTAAGACCCAAATTGCTGTATTTATTCTACAAAGAAGCCTATTATTTCCAATCTTACAAATGTACAGCATCCACAGGGACCCTGTAAATATTGGAACTGTATCAAGCCCAGCTGGGAACCTGACAGTCATTAGTATTTTTTCTCCGTGAAAGCCTGCATCTTTTCAGATGGCTCTTTGAAGGGGACTTTTTGGAGGATAACACTGCCCATTTTCACTTACTTTATTTCTGTGGAATGTGATCTGATTTTTTGAGGGAATGTCTTTTGTCTATGCTGGGGATTCTCAACCCCAGAAATCCTGATATGTTGATATTTGGGTCAGATCATTCTTTGGTGTAGCGTCTGTCCTT